TGGGTAGTATTAACAGGTGGGTTGATAAGGAGATGAACTGACCTGCAACTGCCTATCATCAGCAACTTTGGGTTGTTTCTATGTGTATATCAATCATAATTCTAGCTTTCCTTTGGGTATACAGATGATCTATATAGTATGAGTTAAAGATAGATTTTGTCTGACACTGTTGACACTTCATGGGATACCTCTAGAGGTTCTTGCCTTTCAGTCATAAATGTGTGCGGTTCCATTTATGAGCAGTTTGCCCCGCTATTGGCAACTAAAATGGACCCATTCCCTGGTCAGTCTGGAGAGATAGAGAACCTGATCTGTTGTCTGTTGACCCACAAACATACTGGGCCTTCCTAGAATTAACTGTTTGCCATCATCTTTAATAAACAACAACCACCAAAGGTGACTGCTGTAATTTGTTTGACAATGTGTAATTTTTCTGGCAATTCCAAGTATTAAGATGGTGAAACAGTGGTTGAATTTTACCCTGCCCTTCCCTTATAAGTTGCCTGCCTCTTCTATATAAACTTGGAGATAAGAATGGCATGTTGATCCAGACTGCAGATAAGCTAGTGTGAGGGAGGCCTGTTCTCAATACAACTCCCTCCCCAAACACTGCTGATGACTTTGGGATTGCTCTAGGTGGGAGTAATATGTGCCTTTCATATGCCTCGTAAAATATCAATGTTGAAAGGCAATTTTGCAGCTGTTTTGACTTCCCCAGAGTTAAGAATTGATAGGGTGCTGCAAAATTGTTAACCTCAACTCAGTTGTCATTAAGTTGTCTTATGTCATCCTTAATGCACCGGTGTTCCTTTGACATGTTCATTTTTAACATAAGGTCTATCACAGGGCAGAATGACGATGTAAGTTCCTTTTGCGGCCAAAAAAATCCAACATGCAGCAAGCAGAAATCAGTTGAACTTGGCAAATTCTTAAGACTACTACTGATCTCTGTAATCAACTTTACTAGCAGATATGTCTGACAGCATTCTGAAGTACTTGTACAGTCCTGTAATGTATCTATCTTGTCTCACTGCTATATTTCTAAGTGAAGAGTTTTGCTTCCCAGAGTCTGGTGGGAAAGGCTGACTTTCCGTGTTCTCATCTGGAAGGTTTCAGCTTAAACAGGTTCTGATGTTCGTTATTCCTCACTACACCAGAGCTGAATTTACAATTAAAACATTCTCAATGGGAGTGAAGATAGGAATGTACACAGTAAGGTGTATAATATACATACGTGTACATACCAAAGCTTTAGTGAGAGGCCTACAGAAAACGAAGATTGGAAAGTATCTTTTTTCTATACCACACCTTCTTGTTTTCTTGAATGAACCATATGCCATATCCTTTCCAGATGCCATTTTTTCATGGGGGGTGTCTTCCAGTTATGGGTTCAATGTTTCAAACCAGTCCTTATCAACTGTTCTTTCTTTAACTCCTGGACCAGGGAAAGGTATTTTGCTTACTGTCTTCACCTCACAAGGTCAGATAGAGGACACATGGTGCCCAGGTTTGGGTGGGAGAACTTTGTGTACATTTGAAAAATTCTTTATGAAGGACATTACATGGAGCATGAACCAGTGACCCTGAATACAACCGGAAATATACACAATCCCAGGACCTTAGATGAGGACATCTAACAGGTGTTTAGATTCACAAATGAAATATGTTTTTTCACAATAACATAAGAGATAACCCTCCATTTTATATCCATGTGCATGTTATTGTATTAGAACCTGTTGGCAGCTAGAAAAGAGTTTTTCAAACAAGATCTCCAATTTCAGGTACTTGTGTCTTGGGCATGTTCCATAGCACACACAGGTGATGTCACACCTCTTTTGTGTTTGTTGCCCTTTTGCCAAAATATTGTAAATGTTTCCTTTAACATTGACACCTTACAGAGTGGCTGCAATTTGATATATGTATGTATAAACAATCATACATGTAGGTGTGGCAAACACACACCATATGTAAAGAGAGGTGTCAGACATTTTTTAGGAAAGATTTTGTATTATACTTATAAAACTCTTGTTATAATATAGTTTCTTTTTAGTGAAGAGAGTACAGATATACTCTTCAGTGGTAATTGGTTTTATATCATTACTTTTTAAGAAAAACCTTAGTTTTTTATAAATCTGAATTGTTCTACCAGTCTAACTTTGGTGTTGTCTACCAGCTTCATATGCAAGCAGCCTCTCTATATCAGAACAAATGACTTACTGCACAATTATACACTTAGAAATTTTGCTATAAACATTTTGTATTGCCATTTTAAACAGCAAATAGCCCCCCACACATAGCTACAGTCTTCATCCAGCTGTTTTCTGCCAAACACACAGCAGTGAACTTAACGCACCTCAAGACCCAAGACTGGAGTGACCATAACACAATTTGAAAAGAATGTTTATTATTTCACCAAACATTCCCTAAAGTTTGTCTAGACAATTCTTCGACTGGAAAAAAGTTCAACGTTGCAATTTGAACAGCAGTTCTGAACTGTTTTTGTTCATAACTATCAAGACGACTTTCAAGGTAATAAGCACAAGTGACCTTGGGAATTTCAAAGCAACAAACATCCATTAATTGAATTGAAGCAGTGAAGGTAAGTGAAAGTGATGCTGCTGTCTTAAGTGGGTGGAATGCAAAGCCAAGGAAGACCTAAGGATGCACACAGGAAACAGAGGATAATCTTTCTTATACAGAGTCTCCTCAGTCTAAGCTGTGATTTGAGAGATGCCAAGAGCTGACATGTGTTTATTATTACAGAATCAGTTCTATATGCTTTAATTAAATGATTGCTGGCATTCAAACATTTTGGGATGAATGCAATTAAAAAAAGACACAATCTTTGGATGAAATTACTAATGACTAAGTCTTACTAAAACTTTAAAGTTAAAAGTTGTTATCAATCTGACTTTCCTGGTACTCCTTGAAGACTGGCCTTTTGGTGCTAAATTGTACTACCTCGGTTGTTACAGGGTTAGGCAGCAGGGAGAAAGATCCATTCATTGCATCCAGTCAAAGAAACCAGCACCTTAATTCCAACTACTAGAACTTTTGTACCATTTCCACAATGATAAATCAGGTGGTCTGAAGTTCACAGCTGGCTATGTTGTGTAAATCTTGGCAATGTCAACATGACCACAAAGTGTTTGTTGCCTACAAGGACTCCATAACACACAACTGGTCTAATCCTTGATCCAAAACCTTTTGAGTGATGTCAACTATTCCCTACTAATATGTCCTCCAATATCTACTAGTATTTTGAATTTTGCAATTTGATATACTATATGAGACATATTTTGATTGAGCCAAGGGATTTTTGCTAGAAATAACTACAAAGTCCTTCCTGGTCACTGCACATAGCATAAATAAATTTCTCCAAAACACTAGGACAAAACTCCTAAACATTTCCCAATGCAATAGTTTACAGTCATGTTTGTGTCGTTAGTTGGCAGTTATTTGAATTTTTGCTTCAGACAATGAGAGGTACAGCAAGTGAGTTCTCATCGTTGCAGAGGTTCACTTTGTGAGGAAAGTCAGGCTAAGGGTCACTCGTGTCTGCACCACACATGCCTGTCTGTATAAACCACCCTGGGGTCACCCACAGGAAGTGCTCTGATTGGATAAATATTACCTGGATTGGATAAATATTGGGAGGACAGAGGTGGGAAAGGTGAGTCCTGGGGTTCAGGCAGGATGACAGATCGGGAAAATGTGTCCATATGGGGGGCAAAATTTGTACCTGAGCGCCCTTCAGGCAATAACTCTTTCTAGCCAGTTTTAGAGATACAAATTACAAACATGGCTTTTCTTATTCTCCAGGGAAGTAATGTTGTACTGTTTTAATTGCAGTTTCTTCAAACATTCAGGAAATTAAAAAAAATACTTTAAGGCAAATGTATCAAGGAATTACTTGTGGTTTAAAGATTATCACTGTTCACAAAATACGTCTTACAACTTTGCAATACAGAAAGTGACACCTGGCTGATCTTTTTGATCCTTGACCGGCAACTGAGTTGACACATTTTCTACAGGTGCAACACTTTGGTCCTGAAGCAAGCTGTTTGATGTTAGGTGTCCTCTGGTGTTGTAGGAAGGGCTTTCCCCAGACTCAAGTACAAATCCTGCACCTCTTGGATTACATAACAGTATTTCTGCAGGGGGACTCATAACCATTCAAGTACCAACAAGCTCCAGATGTTGGACTTCAGCAAGGAAAGACTGGGATATCCCTAAAGTCTTCCAAGTCTAGACAAGCAATTTTTGAACTGGCAAATTTCAATTCAGACCAGAAATTGTGATGGGTCAAAGCGGGAATGTTGAATGATTGGAAATAATTGGGGAGTTTTAAGGGTCGTGACTTTTCACGCTGCACCATATATAGACAGAGATATGACAATCATAGATCCAAATCGGATGTCAAGTCCTGATCTGTTGGATTAAGGGTGTTAGAGGGATTTCCATAGCATCATTATTGGCATCTGCCATTCAGACAGACTTATGTGTGGCACTCAAAGACATTTAAAAGCAATTTTCCGTCCTTAAAACCTGGACAATAATGACTAATTCAGTTGCTTTAACTGATTGCTGAAAAAGCTAGTAAACGGAAAGTGCATCTCAAACCTACAAAATCTGGTGTTAAAAACTGATCGATGACCTCATCACATTTGTGTAAAACAATGGCAGAGCACCTGTGGAACATGTGGCCCCTGTCAGTGACCAAACCTGGACAAATCCCACAAAGGAAATGCATGGCTCAATCATAAGTCTGAGAAAACAAACCTTGAACAACCTATCTCGTGCAGGCTATCCAAGCATCCTGGTGATGACTGAGAAAGTTTTTGTTCTTGTCTGATGTCCTAAACCTTTCATGACCTAACAAAGGTTATGTATCATATGAGGGGAATGCTCAAAGGCCAAGCCACCCAACTGGAGATGTCAGCTATATCTCAAATGTCTATCACGTGTTCCATCTGTGAGGCTAAAGGGTGAAGTCTTACCGTCATCATCATCAGGAGCGATCACGACCTCAGTTGCACTAAACTCCTCCCCAATCCGACCACCCATGGGCATGCTCAGAACCACCTGTAGGATGATAAATGTAAAATATGATGCTTTTATTTATGAACAAGGATTTGTGAAAATGCTTCTCTATTTTCTGAGAGGTTCAACCCTACTAAGCAATTTAAAGAGAGAACAAAGAAGTGCTTGTTCCTTCAATTTCAGTTTCAATCCCACTTTGCATCAAAATGTTACAAAACATCAAAGTGTGTCATTTTTAAGTTCATTACACCAGCTATCATTTGTACAGTACTGAGAACAGTGTAGGTTAGTTGAAAGGCTAAATACAAATTATGTCAAATCAAGGAGGTTTATCATGGATTCAAGTACTCATATCTTGAAATCAGTGTCTGAAAGGTACCACACAGCCAGAGGGAAAAACATCTAAAGAGATGGTAAGTTTACTGACCTGGAAGGTTTCCTGCTCCTCGTACAGCGAATCGTCGATGATGACGATACGACACGGCTTCTCGTCCTCGCCCTGGTCGAACCTGATGACGGAGTTGTGGTCCTCGGGACGACTGATGTAGTCAGAGTAGGACAGGACCGTGGTGGGGGTGGTGCCTGTAGCTGTGTCTGTGGGAAGGGGCAGAAAACAGGTTTCAGATGCAGGAAAAATTCCTCTGCTTTAGTTTACTGAAAAGCTAACCTTTCACTGGTCATGGCAAGGAGGACAGGTAGAATGTATAGCATCCATTATGTTCAGGTTTAATGCAGACAGAAAGTTCCAAAACTATTCTTGGCAGCTGGAGGGAGGGACACATCTATTGTAACTTATCTTTTGTGGGAGGAGAGGTTTTAAAAGGCAAGGTACATTGTAACAAACCAGTCACCTGTGCACCCTTCCTCATGCCTAACTCCACAACCAAGACATGTAACATGCTTGTGTTCAGGATATACCGTATCAGAAAGGGTAAAGCCCTTACAGGAATAAGCACTCCATCATAATTTCCTGTTAATTTTTTGGCAGAGGGAATGGTTTTTGGATATGTTGCAGAAGCTTTCTCTGAAGATAAGGAGGGAAATGTGTATCTCTAACATCTCTGGAGTCAGCTGGTGCTAATTCAACCCAACTTCCTGTTGACCTTCTTCTGTTCCTGAGCAAATCTAACCCTTAGTATGGAGCAGTTTAAAGTCAATTATACGTACATTAATGTCATATATTTCAGATTCTTCCTGTAATGTTCAAATAGATAAAATGCACAATGTAGAGTTATAAGTCTTAGAGTTTATCAGTGGTACATGTGGAACACATGTAGTTGACACCTTGGATAATGTCTGGAATCTTTTCTCTGACATAATTTGAAACCTAGTATGCAACTCCTCACTCAAGTCAGGAGGCCATCATAAACAAAATCAAGGCTGATTACAATCTTTCCTTGTATAATTGCAAAATTTACTGCTGGTAACATCATCCCAAGTTATTCCACTGCAGGTTAGGGGGCAGGGACAACAGCCCAATTAACTCATAACATGGCGCAGGCTGTGGTCTGTTTCATAAAACGTGATACACTGTAACAGGTTTGTGTTTCACGGAAACAGTAAACTATAATGCCCCACATCATGGGTACATCTTAACTACATTGTATGTCATCAAATTTCCATCCAATGCAGAATTTTGGCAGAAGTATTCAGTACGGCACTTGTTGCATGAATTCCAAAGATGACTTGAAACTAAGAACAAATAAAGGTTTTTACGATATTAAGTTTGATTAAGCCATTGGGAGAGCACATATTGCTTCTACTTCATTCACAATACGCTCTTGATCTGCTGCCTCTTTCGTCAGACCTTCCCTCCCACATCTATCCAACACAGCTTGTTTTGTTGTGTTCATTTCTTCCTTAAGACTTTTTTAAACAGGTGCAAACTAATGACATTCCCTGCCCTCACCCAGTAACACCCATGCAGTTATGAAACAACATTTAACAATTATTTTGATGAACTTGGATGAACTTTGCAAGCCCCTTCCTGCTCTGCCCCACACACAGACACAGCATTTGGGATCAGCACAAAAGTATTATTTCCCATCACAACTGACAAGGTTCCGCAGGGTCCTATGAGTTACTAATCCGGTTATTCTACCTAAAAACTGAAAACTGCCCTCCAGGCTAACCTTGCATGGAGATGGGGAAAACTGTCTAACAATAGCTCTGTGTTTAGCTCCCAATCTGAGGCATGCTGGTTATGCTCCAGGTGTCAGCTTTGATTTATTTTAGGGGCCTAGTGACACCTGCACTCACCTTCAAAGTCAAAGGAGTCAGATTGGACTGATTGCCTACGTGATTTGTTTTGGCTTTTTAGCGGTGATCAGTTTAGTATAACTGCTGTAGGGTGGGTTGAGGTTAAGGCAAGTGCTGGAATGCATGTGATATCTCTGCATGCCATCACGCACTTGTTGCCCTTTCAAGGTATTTTATTTCTCTCCATAGAACCAGTCAATTTAACTAGTCTGAGTGAGAAGTCCAATGAAGGGAAAGGAAGGGGGCTAATTTGAGACCCACCATCTTTTCAACGTCACAACTTGAAAACCTCACATTTATAAATAGATTGTAGTTGAATGGCCCATTTAATATATCTTGTAGACATATTGTTTGACTTGTACATGTATGATGGATAAAAAAATTGGACCATTGTTCAGACTCCACTTTCTAAACATTCAAAGAAAAAAATGTCAGCTGCCTTAATTTGTTTTATAGTTCCTATGTAACTACTTGGAAGAATGAATAAAGACAACTACCATAAATTATGTGACGTATTTTCCCACAGTTGGCCCACATGTATGGTCCAGACATTTCCATGCTTACAGTGTTTCAGTGTTCAGCACATTTTTGTCAGTCCAAAAAACCACATCACTCAACAGACTTCAAAGTCTCAAACAAACAGTTCTGGGAGCCGAAGTACCAGTTTGTTCTTTTCCCAAACAAACGGTATACAACAGCAGGACTCTGGCCTTTGTCTCTTTGTTGAATAACTTACGACTAGGGTAGGGAGTTAACATTGAGAGGAAGTGGCTCACCACTACTCATGCTATCAGTCAGCAACCTTAGGTGCTGCAATGACATGGTTCCCACGAGGAAAATAAAGCGTGTTTGAAGTTTGTTTTAACTTCTATGAAAGGCCAAATTGTTTTTCAATAGCATGATTGTTGGACATTATAAAAATGTCACTAGAACACTTAACCTGCATGTATGTTTGTTTCTATGTGGATTTTTCAGAAATCAGTCTTGCATTTCTGTCATAGTTGGAGTACAGTTAGGCTTAGTTAGAGTTGCTAAAACTTGCTTTGGAAATTGTACACCTTCCAATGAGGGTAGTTTATGTGAGACAAATTGCAGGCCGGCTGGTCTGAAGACCAGACAGTCAAATAGCCATAAAGTACAGTACCATACACTTTTGTACCTCCCTTCTTGAAATAGGTCAAGATAAAACTTTTTTCTTTCACTGTCAACTGTAGTCCTGTTCAGTTGATAAAGGTCAGTTATAATATGTGACTCATTGATGTATCATCTAATATCATTTCATAATGCTGTACCTGTCCATGAAATGATGTTAAGAATACGATGTACTTGAATAAAGTGATAAATTTCAAATTGCAGTGAAATTTGAAACTCGTAATCATTGGTTGCCATGATTTCCACAATTTGTTTGAAACAACACTGTCTGAAGGTAATTTCTCCACTTCAGTGTAAATCACTCAAAAGACCTTCAGTACACCACCGACCCAATTAAAAGTCCCAGGGTCGCTGGAACAAACTCAAGCTCAAGTTTTGTCTGGCTGACTTCCAGTGAAGGACAAACTCCCTGCCAGAAATCTGACCACTTGGCGGTTACAGGACACAGCCATCTCCACTTAGTCGGTGATGCTGGATTTAGTGTGTGGTAGTACTGTACATCAGCCTGCAAATCACTGTCAATCAGCCAACACTATCCTCGGTCTCTTCCCACAAGGTACATGTTTTTTCTACAAGGTAAACACTGCATTTCCGTGTTTGCTACAATAACTCAACATGGCAATTGCTCCAGTACACAATTTTGGCACACTTTCTGCCAAGTTGATTTGTTAAAATTCTTCACAGTGTTGAGATTACAGGCATTTAAGATGCATGGCATTAGATACATTCTATACATGCTAAGCTAACAGCCTCTCCAAGAAAGCATTTGACGCATTCAGAGTAATCCCAACACTGCAGACGATTTGAACAAAGCCATTAGACAAAACATTAATTTTGTTTAGAATGCCCAAAACCTGGACACAGAGATGATAAACAATGATGCAAACATTTTTTTCTCATCGGTTCAAGTAGTCATTTACATAGAGCAGTAACATTGTCCACTGACCCGAAAATTAACTAGGTCAAAAATAATCAGGTCCAAATTTGTTTTAAAACACCCAGAGAGTGGATCTTTATTACAGGGAAACTTAGTAGACTTGATAATTGGACAATAATTAAAATGAGACAGCTGGGAGTTGTCTTCAGCTAGCGCACCACAAATGGGTTCCAGTAATATTGCAGTTGGAGGGAGGAGTGTGCCTTACAACACAGTCTTTCAAAATTTTACTGCCTTCTTTAAGTGGGCTCTCTGGGATTTGTTGGGTCTTGACTTTTTTACCCTCAGTACCATGTTTTTCTTGGCAACTATTGCACAATTCTTCTTCAAAGCACAACTGATATGCCTGGGCTCTTATCATTAGGGTGGCTTTTCAGACCTTCTGATTTATTGAACTTTTTTGAAAGTCTATACACTACCTCCCAAGTTGAATCCAATATTTGATTTGCTGAAACAAGAGAACTTTTGCCACTTAAGTGATTTGGAAGGTGGTACTTAACAAACAAGCTAGAGAGATTGCATCCTAAGCTAAAGGAAGTTCTTTGACAGCTAGTCGCTTCTGGAAGTTTGCCAAGAAACTCTAATGTAGGTCACTAGAAACCAAGACAGGAAGAAGAAAACTTCATCCTCTGGTTCAAAACTTTCCTCTTACTCTGATTGATTTAATGTAATCATGTCAGGTTTATCTAACACTGTAATGTATTGTATGATTGAGTACACAAAAAATGTTAGCCCGAAGAGCTAGATTTTAAGGGTCCACAATATTGCACCACAATTGGATAATGGTAAATGTGGCAAAACAGCTTTAGGTTCTCTTTATTCTTCATTACCCTAAAGTCTGTAGGTTTGACAGTTCCCCCTTTGGGCCACAAGTGAACTGTATGTTTTGTCTAAGCCTCTATTTGTTGCTCTTTTCATAAAATTTAAGGCGTGTTGATCAAACAAGCAGGAGACCCTTAAGGAAGGCTTGGCACACTCTCAAGAGACAAAGAAGATTTTTTTTAGCCTTGTAACTTCCCATGATGCTAAATGTTAGCTGAAAATTTTCTTTATTAGTCATTTTTGAGCTATACAGTTTTCTTGTTTATACACAGAACTGTATCTTCAACAACTATACCTGGGCAGACACCTGTCCTTCTGTGTACTAAACTCATTAATTACTGTCTGTCTTGTGTTGTTATAAACGAGTGCACAAGGTGTCTTTGAAACTTGATAGTGACCTTGGAAACATGGCAAAGCAAACAAAGGATGAAAAATAAATAACACCTTTCCATGGAGAAGTATCACTTAGACTAAACACGATGGGGACAAAGTGTGGAGGTCATGCCACCGATGTTCCCGCTTATTATGCTTGACTCATTTTATCGTGGGAACTGCTGGCTTCAACCAATGCAGGCAGGGGAACAATAGGCAGGTGACAAGTTGTCCGGGTAAAGGTGATACCGAGGATAAATATTGACTTTTCGCAGGTCATCAAAACAAACAAAGCCTTTTGGTAACAGTTTACAATGCTACAATGCACTGGGCACTTCAGGGGAAAGGTTAATTACCAGACAGCAAGAAAAGGCAGCCTGATGCCCTTTGTTCAAGCTGTTCCGTACCTGGTTTTGTAGAGCACACCACCATCAGTTCCTTGCTGATGTCTCCCTTTCTCTTGATTGGGATGAGCAGCTCTCCAATATCTTCCTCCACAACATACTTCTCATCTGGGATGTACACTGTGGACTCTGTATAAATAAATGTCATGAGTAAAGTATCTTCTTAATTAGCTTTGGTAAACTTTTTTGCTGTGCTGTTAGATTCTGGTTACGCAACAATAGAAGAGTCTTTCTCTAAAAACGTTTATGTATTGATAGCCCATTTTGTTTTGACCAAATATGTTGCATGCCAATATCTATACCTACATATATGTTTACGTCTCCTCCTCTCCAAATACATGTATACACAGTGGCAGAGCAACATATTGCAGATAGAAGTATAAAAATCTTTTTTTTTTAATTTCATGTCCACTACGTTTTGTATTTGTTACCCCAACCTGTATTTATGTTTCTGTTTCATGAGCAAAGGATCCTTATAAGCACATCACATGCTTTCTGTCCAATCCTCACAAATCTATGTGAATAAAATAAAAATACAAAGACAGACTGACCATCCGACCCATCCGTGATCTCCACCACGGCTCTGTCCGGGTACTCCAGGACCCCCATGAAGGGCTCTGACAGCACGATGGTGAAGGTTTCCGACCGCTCGAACGTGTCGTCCTTCATGATGCGGATCTTCAGCTTGCCGCTGGTCTGTCCCGGGTTGAACTGGACCTGCCTGTTCGCACGACTGGTGAAGTCCTCGCCTTTCTCAGCTGTGCCATCTTCTGTGTTGATGGCTAGAAAGAGTAAAAAAAGGGATTAAATTGATGCATAATGACTCTAGAACATTCCTGATTTGGTAACGAACATAAACTGTACACAAAAAAATTTCAACGTAAAGTTAGAGTGTTTATACAAGTCAAATTGGGTGCTGTACGCACACAGTTGACAATTAGCACTACTGTTACCTACCTTGTACCATGGTCCCTTAACCCAGTTTACAGTCGTGGGGCACTCCATGGCAGAGTGTCTAACCTATAAGCAACTACTGTTCTCTCCCATCAACTAACTACTGCTGCTTATAGGTAATTAACAGTGTTGGATCCTTTTGAATTTGTAGGCAACAACACTACAAATAGATTGCTCATTCCTTGACAAAGACTGGAGTAAATCTGTAAATTTGGGTAAGTCCAATTTCTTGAGTTGGAAATAGCTGTTCAAACTTGTTTCATAAACACAATAAAGAGTGTGACTTACTGACGAAGGCTGTCTCCCCCAGGTATCCTCTCCTGTTGAGGTTGACCACCAGGTACTTGGTGTTCTCGTCCACGGTGTACTGGTCCTTCTCCACAGAGATCCAGCACCAGTTCAGCCGGAACACCTGGTTAGGCAGGGCGTTCCCACCTGTGGATCAATCAAACAAATATTGATCAATCAATTGATCAATGGTTTATTTCAGAACAGTACCTGTACATTGCTAATACATTGGTACATTTGTACATGGTTGTAGCATGTGAAAATTGAATTGCAACCGTATACTATATGTATACTATACAGATTTATGCGTCAAATCACAAATCACTTTACAATATGGTTATGATTTCTTCTACTTTTCTCATTAGTAAAGAAGCATTAAGCTGTCAAAGCTCTCAGGCACAAGCACAAACTGCTCAGTCATACACAAGTCAAGCCAATAACTAGTCTGTCCCACACATTCTGTTCCATGTT